ATTCGCTATCAAATTGAACAGAAAATATTTTATTTCCACGTATAGAGCGTGTCAGACGTGGCAATATTTTCAGCTTTTCCACGCAATTCGCCGTCAAATTGAGAAATATAAATTTTATTTCGATGTGTAAACAGCCAGAAAGACCTTTCTGTCACATATGTTTCAGAAATAAAATTGCAAGATGCAAAGAACGTAAATTTATAAGAAGAGACAACACGTTATAATTGTAACGAGTGGAAACATCAGGAGCGTGCATTCTCTTTTGCCCAAATACGTTTTGTGATTGGATGAAAAGAGAAGGCACGCTCCTGATGTTAACACCTGCTACAATTATAACGTGGTGTCTCCTCTTATAGATTTACGTTATTTGCAAGATGTGACCAGCGTTGCTAGGTTGACGTTTTGAACGACATTTGGAGGTTTTTTCATCCTGTTGACCTTTGTTGTGTAAAAAATTAAATTAAAAATTTTAACTTCGCAGTAATTTTTTCTCTATGCACTGTGTATTTAATGTATAGCGTATATATTTGCTTGTAGAGTAAGTACTTACGCTCACACTTTATTCTTTGGACACAGATGACTTAAATATAATGCAAACCAAGCGTACGCGCATTTTTTTTATTCTTGGACTAATGCAGCGTTTTTGCTGCGTTTGGCACTTTCGAACATATATTTTTGAAGAGCATTCATGCTATCGCATTTAGCAAATGTACATTTACCCAAGGCATATTCAACAAGGTAGAAGTGACAATTCAGTCGAGCTCTCTTATAGCTGACTGTAATGTCAAAAAATGTAAATAAAGAAATTAAACCTTTGTTATGCATTTACCATATTTGATAAAACTCTATATCTTTAAAATTAATATGAAAATATTTAAAATCTCATTAGAATCAGCTTCATTTTAGTTATTGCATTTTCATTTTAATGTATATGTGGAAATGCATACTTGCACAAAATTACACACTAAATGAAACACTCATTTATAAAACCATTTTCACAATTTTCTTGCTTTTACTAGCCCAATGTTTTAGAGGATTTATTTTTTTATTCAAATAGTTAATTCAAAAGTATATTAGACATTAAAAAAAAAGTTTTTTTTGTCTAAATTTACATCAGAACTTAACTTCAATAATTTATGTAGCTATTAAATTTTTGCAATCCGAAATTTTCTTTCCATTAAATTTATTAAAAAATACTTCCAGTTTCTTTATGTCAACAAGGAATTCTGGTTTAGGATTTATCAGACAGAAATTTGGTCTATCCACGTATATGAGTGGAAAATTTTCTCTTCATATTCGGTATGATAAATCCTGCACCTGGGAACAAACGCGTCCGCTTAGAAATACTAGGCTGCGAGGGGCAACAAATAAAGTCACTGGCACTAAAATTGTTTTCACGCACACGTGAAGAATCTCCTAAATAATGAAATATCGCAGCAATTTGCCCACCATTGTCGCTTCACTTGACAATTCGGAGGTTTAAATAATGCACAAGTTTGTTGTCCTGGCTCTTGTCAAACACAACTTACCGCCCGTAATTCCTTTTCATTTTATTATGTATTTAAAACTAGTCACACAGCTCACAATTGAAAATTAAAATAAAAAAATTTAAATTTTGAATATTATAGGGTTAAGAGTTGACATTTTAGTCGCAGTTCAAAAGAGAGAAATGTCGAAATCGCTTCTACCTTGTTATGCCTTGCATTTACCCAAGTTCGAAATCATCTGTTTATTGTTTACATTGAAATTTAAGCAAAATGCGCCGAATTAAATTTATTTTATTAATGGTGAAATTATATGTATCTGTGACCATCAATTATGCAAAAATTGAAAAAATAAACACATCCATATATGAATTAATAAAAAGACGTGCACGATTTATGGAGATCGTAATTCTGTATAAAAACGAGCAAGTTGTGATGTGGGAATACATCCACTTGGAACTTTCAACAAATGAAAGAACCTTTGCTCCACAACAGGTATGAAAACAAAATTATAATCACTTATGTATGTATGTATATACATACATGAACCAACTAACAAGATCACGCAATCGGAAAAGAATGAAAAAAGTAAATTTCTGAGCGTTTTTGACATCTGCCTAAAAATGAAAACAAACAAAGAAAACGAAAAAGGCGCGGTTATTGAGTGCGATTAGATTTGTATTTATTATAAAATATAAAAAGTGAAACTTGATGACAATTAGCAAAAAAAGTTCATAAAATATGGTTTTAATGATTGAGAGTGTTTTACAATCGCATATGATCGGCACCGGCCGATTTTTCAATGCCAACGTTCTGACCACAAATGTGCACCCACTTTTCACGCAAATTTACGCCTCTTGGCAAATCAAACAGACGCACAAACTTGTTCCAATCACGAAGCACTTCATATTATATCATAAATTTGTAATAAATCAAAATTTCTAATTAAAACCGCTGCAAAAAATACATAACATCGCTAAAATATCACTACGAAGAGGTAGAAGACGATGTAAACAGAACCAAAAAACATCAAAAACGCTACGAAAACTTTTTTCTGAAAATCGATTACAAATACAACGATGGCGGATTACGTGATCTGTAGTCGTTGGTTCATGTATACATATACTTAGAAATCCAACGTTTAACAGAATCGAGGAAGTACGTTTTGGGAAGTCGAGTGCCAATGCTCTGGAGATAATAACTTCAGACAAAATTTTAGACTAAATAGAAGTGCTTTTAAAAAATTATGCAGTTTTCTGGATCACCTAAAGAGAAAGGCAACAAGATTCCATAATACCATCTGCTTGGAGAAACGAGTTGCCATCGCCCTATATGCTCCTGGGTCCTCAGCGGAATATCGTAGCATTGCGAACTTGTTTGGAGTGGCCAAACCAACATTATGCGCAGCTCTCTTGGAATTTTTTAGGGAAGTGTGGAAAGTGTTACACCCAATGTATTTCAACCACTTTCCCCTAAGTAGAGAAACAATTGAAGACTGCGTTAATGGGTTTAAACACATTGGATTCCCTCAGTGTATGGGTGCTCTTGGTAAGCCCTTAAAATTATTATTTTTACCCAACTAAGTAGCGAATATATTTTTCAGATGGATGCCACATAGAGATTCATCCCAGACAGGAAGAAGCAGTCGATTATATCAATTATAAAGGATGGTATTCCACAGTGTTACTAGCACTTGTTTATGCAAGGTACCCAGCATGCAATTTTTTAGATATTCTATTTTATGTATATGCATATTCATCCGAATGTAAATTACATAGCGCATAACTTTTTCTCTTCTTTTAAAGATATCGCTACATCAACGTGGGAAGTCCAGGAAGGTGTAATGATTCCCAAATCTTTGAAAAGTCCAGCTTAAAAACGGAACTGGAGAACTGCTCCCTTCTGAACACAATGAGCACAAATTTAGGAAATTTTGACATCCCAGTTGTCATTCTTGGAGATTCTGCCTTTCGTTTTTCCAAATATTTAATGAAGCCTTTTCCATTCAGTTTGGATAAGACGCCTTCACAAAAAGCTTTAAATTACCAACTTTCAAAATCTCGTAGAGTGGTTGAAAATGCTTTTGGGCAATTGAAAGCAAGGTAATTAAGTAAATATAGAATTGGTCGTTAAATCCCACTGGGAAAATAGGTAAGCACCTTACGAGGTAAGCCATGTTTTCCTTCAGTTTTTAGTACCAAAATAGTAATTACGGCCAATGTCAGCTAATAGTAAAGCGCAAAATGAACACCTCCTATGACACATTACGTTGTCAGTTGCAAAATTATCGTGCAGCCGAAGTTATTTCCAAGCGCCGAACTACTCCGAGCAACTGCTCTGCATTATGCATAACTTACTTTGTAAAGCAGCTCAGAGGTATGTCTGATACCAAATGTAGATTCTAAATTCCTACTTACATAAGGCGGCCACGTCTTTGTTAAAGTAATGGAGATTCGGCAGGGAAGTAGTA